GGTGTACCAATTGACACCACAGAAATTCAAATTTAACTGCGTTAGTGCAATCAGAGGTTCCCCTTGTTTGGAGATTTACGCTTTGAAATTCGCGCCAGGTTTGCGGTTCTGGTATGCTGTTTCTGGGCTATATTTTGGCTCCATTTTACAATATTAGTGTATTTTCTAGTTAAGTGGGCCGGCCTTTCAGTCGCACTTTTCTAAGAAAGGCTAAATTGTTAGCCACTACTGTTATTTCCCTTGTTTCCACCCTCCACTTTTGCGATCTAATTTTGGCTTGCTTATTCTTTTCCATGAGCCCGCTACTAATGGATGCTCGAAATGCGGTGATGTGACCAAAGAAAATGGATCAAATTTCCTCTAGTGGTGCATTTTCCATGGAAAATAACACAAGCCATTGGCATAATAGATTGATAGTTTACTAATGGAATCAGGCACCTCAACGTTTGGCAGCGGTAGCCGGTGAAAAGCGCAAAATTCGTACATAAGCTACGGAGACCAAAACTTCAAAAATGTCGAGGCCTACGAAACGTTTGTATTTATCCCTGCTTTACTGTTCGTAAAGATAAACACGATCAAAAGCAGTTGTTAGCGATATTTCTTCTCCCTGCATGAGCATGGATGTTATGTAGAATTTGATCTGGTCCCACGCAGGAACAGCATCTAGCGCTTGTCTAGAAATATACCTATATTTATATTTATATTTTTATCTGTATACACAAATACAGGAGTAAGTACAGGCCAGTTTTCCTGACGAGTCTGGTAGACAAACCGGAAGGGAGAACCTGGCGCAAGATTCGCTAACAAGTATTCAGGATAGATGTAATCTGCTTAGTGACGCACAACGCTGATTCCGAATAGCTTGGAAGCTCGTGAAAGGTAGGCCGATGCGGTGGACATGGGCCACGCTCCTGACCTGATTTTCGTCGATTTTCCGAAGGCATTTGTCAAGGTACCCTATTAATTGCATGCGCAGCTCATTTCTTACGGCACATCCGGTAGTGCTATTCACTAGGTGTCTTTATTCTTGGATGGTACACGACAGTGTGCACACGTAGACCGCAGCCTATCGTTTAGGTGGTTTAGCTGCAGGGCTGTGACTCGCACATTTACTTGGCTGTTCACGAGCACAAAAAGCACAATGGAGAGAAAGCTGCAACCCCTACTATGTGCTGGAGAATGCAGATAATTTGTGTACAGCTATACCTAGTCATTTGTCCCCATACATGTGGAGTCCATTTTCTGACATAAGTTGCTTAGAGGTGCACTGCAGATGTTGTCCGAAATCGGTTGCAGACATCTTTCACGAGCAGTCTGTGTAAAAAGCTGCAGTGGCCGTTGGATAACGACGGTTACCGTCTGGCCGGTATACCCTTCGCAACTGTTTTCATCGCTAGGTTGTGTGCATATGTAACAACTGCACTCGCAGATACGGTCATGCGGCAAAGCTTCCCTCGGTCCATGGAGGTCACTATCGTGAAGAAGATCCACTGAGGATACAGATGGTTAACTAGCAAGTCGAGGAAAGGCCTGCCGCGTCTGAGAAGTAGTAATATTCCTTACGTAAAAGATGTGTATTTTTAGCCAAACTGCTATCAATAACACGTCATGCATGTCCACGTTTGGCAAGGGAAAATTGGACGATGGTGAGGGTGAACAAAGGATGAACCCAATCTCGGTTTTCGGCTCGGAAAGTAATAAGAGAACCCGGCCAAGTTTCTTCCTCTGAAAGTCTTCTGTCAGGAGAAAATGAAGGCCAAACTATCCTCAGACGGACCCCACGCCTCAAAGGAGAAACCTTCTACGCTCTGAAAGACCATCTTCTAGAGGACCTAGTCAGAATGAGCCAAGCTGTCTTCGGGCTGCGGACCCAAGAGCAAATGGAGTAATAGCTCTACACATAGTGAATTTGCGCGAAGTCAGGAAAACTCAGAGAGCTCGATAGAGGCCAATCCGCCTTCCTCCCGGTTCTCAATCATAAAACCGGATTGCGCATAGTACCCACGAACATGCGCATTCTCAGAAACAAGCTAGATGAGATTCCACTCCATAGCACTGAACGGCAACCGGAACTAGTGGCGTTCACGGCAACCTGGCTGCCTTCTGATATACCTGACTCGGAAATGCTTGTTTCACGATATCAGCCGCTTTGATGCGATCGTTTTGGTGGAAAGTCTGGAGGCCTGTAATCTACTACTCAGAGAACTGCCTCAAAGCCAAATTGTCGAACTCACCTGTGAAAAGGACGATATGTCAGAACTTCTCTGGTGTCCAATGCATGACGGATACAAAGCCCTGACGGTGGAGTGGCCTACAAATCCCCTGTAGGACCTGAACCATACCTATTGCGCTTAGTGCGAACCCACAGCAGGGGAACGAACTGTCTGCTTGTGAGAGACCGCAACATCCCGGCATAACCTGGGACGTACTTCACAGTGATATACCAACAAACTTCCTTGCAGTGGACCTTGATATCGTTCACGAGTAGAACCTGACAAAGCATAACTTGACACTAACACGGATTGTTCCCTTCAGGCATTAAACATTCTAGACCTGCTTCTCACATCGGCCTGACCTGGCCTCAGATCTAACGTTCCTGAAACTCCAAGGGAAAGTGATCACTGCACAATCACCTGTTCGTGCACACGACTCTTCAAAATCCCCGACCAGGGTACACGGCGTCCGAATTGCTGGTGCACCAACCGCACGGCTGCAAATAACATGGGCTGGGGTATTCCGCGATCCTTTGAGCTTTATGCCGCATGACGAAACCTATTATCTATGGTGATGCGGCTGTTTAAGCAGTTGCTTTTACACTGCAAGTGCAGACCACCAAAAACGACTAAAACTATGGGACCCTTTTAAAAGCACACTAATGACATCAAGCTACTTAGAGTACAAAACGGTCAGAAACCTATCCACCCTGAGAAAATGGGACATAAGTCTAAAATATAAACTTGGACTGGCGCTGGAATCCGAATATTCTCCCAAAAATCTTTTTGCCAACCTGAAGCGAAAGCCCAAACGGGTAGTGGAATGCCTCGCTCGCTCCACTTTTCAGGAAGGTACCTTTCTCTACGAAGCTGATGAAAAAGCAGAGTCACTAGCTGCGCAATATTCCTCTGTCTACTCAGTGGAACCTCCGCTACACAATAACGGTTTGCCTACACACCACTCCTTTATGGACCAAGTCAAACCCGAGGTCGTCACTAAGCTACTCGAACTAATCTATTCGATCTGGATCGGAATTCCTCCCCAGGCCCGGATGGATTGTAACCCAGCTTCCACAAAACGATTACTAAACACGTCCCCGCCCCTCTCTGCTAAGTATTTCGGCAATCGCTCGAAGTGGGCTGCGTAACCACAGGCTGGAAGGTATGTACCGTTCTACCAAAGTATAGGGGGAGCAATCAACAAGACCCAGTGAACTACCGGCAAAAACGCTTGGAATTATTCGTATGCAAAACCCTGGAATGAATAGTCAAGTGCAACCTACAGCTACTCCGTGTGAACCTAAACGTTATATCACCCGCTCAACCTAGATTCCGGAGAGCACGCTCACGCAACTCTAACTTACGCACCGCCAGGGAAACATGGGTAGAAGCAATAGATGTCCGAAAATAGGTTAACGAAATATTCATTGACTTCCTTAAAACCTTTGCAAAAGTTCCACACGCCCGACTGCTACGTAAAGTCCCGGGAATGGGCGACAGAAAATTTTCTCCTGTGGCTTGCCGATTTCTTAAGCAGTAGGACAATGCGCGTAGTGAAATAAACACTCTGCTCCTGTTTATGTGGCTAGTGACATTCCTCAAGGATCAGTGCTCGGATCAGAGCTCTCCAAACTGTACCTTAACAATCTGTCGGCTGCGCTTCAAACCGACAACTTAATCCACGCCAATGACCTCAAGCTTTGGTCAATAGTATCCAGCCATGAGGATGTGGACAGATTACGGTGGGCTCTAGACCAGTTACACGGATGGTCCAACAAGTGGCAACTGCAATTAAACCGAGATAACTGTGTTGTTCGCTTAATGCGTACCACTGAGCTGTACGGTGCATCCCACATTGGTGGGTTCTTCCTCAGGAATGCCGCTATCGAGAGGTCTCGGGGTTATCGTGTCTTCAGACCATAGAACACACCAGAACACATTGAAGGTGGCCACTGGAAAGAGACTGATGGGTGCCTCAAGCAGATCATTCATCTGCATGAGTAATGCGAGTTTTCGACATTCATTTCCTTCGTTCGTCCGTCTAATCTTAGAATATATCCTACCGGCTATCCATAAACTTAAGTTTAAATGCGCACTGCTGGAAAGGTTTCAGATGTGTGCATTTAAAACTGTTCTGGGGCTTTTGATCTCCTGTACCACATTCGATTACAACAGCTAAACCTATTCTTCCTAGAGTTCCGCCGTCGCCGGGTTGAGCTCAACTAGACTAGGCGCGTCCCCCGAGGGGAATGAAAGCGAGTTGCAACAATTCTGCCGGCCCAACGCACACCGTTCCACACGAGGTCACACACAGAAACTATTTAAGCAAAGAAGGCACAGAATTCGCATACACCTTCCCTATCCATTAGAATGGTAAATTATTGGAACGGCCTACTGGAATGAATTGCAGTCGGATCTTCCGAGGATAGTTCATGCGGCTGCTAGACAAACATTCGCTGAGAATGCTGGAATTTTGCGGCTGTCACTGCAATTGCAACGAACCCTCGAGGAACGTCCTAACTCAACAACACGCCTCAAACCCAGTAAGATACGCAATCGATAGTGGTGACAAGCGATTTCCCTCCTGCACTCTACGATTCAATGTCCGCAATGTACACAGGGGGAAAATTGGGAAAGGTTAAAGGAGGTTGCGGAGTTATGCTAAAAACGCTTTCCAGAGCAACTGATGCGCAAACATAAAACGTCTCTCCGTGTGCCATTTCGATCACCTGTCTGTCACACATCAGTGGACATCGGTTACTTTTTGGTCTCCTATTGGTCACCCGTTCTAAGTAGGGATGTGCTGAGTCTGTCTGCGAATAGCCACCGCCCACATTTTTTACGCAATGGTTTGAGCACTTTTCTCTCTGCCCTCCGGGACGACCGTCATACTGGATTCCATCATTAGATAAATGTCAGGAAGCCACTCGAGTTCAGATGACAGCAGTGACTCTAGAAAGCGACCTCCGGATCAGGTTTTATGTCCGGATTCTAGCCCAAAGCGAGCGAACTGTGGTTAGTCATTGTTGTACATGACATCACGGCTGCCGCTATTTTCGTTATTGTAGATGAGACTGTGCACCTAAAAGTTCTCATTCCTTCTATCGCTGCTGGGGCTGTCATAGGTAAAGCTGGAGAGGCTATAGGGAAGATCCAGAAGGAAACCAATACGAAAGTGAAGATGTCTAAACAAGATGAATTCTATCCTGGTAAGTCTCATAACCGAGACATGAGAGCGGTTTGATTTCTTACCTGAAATAGTACTCGGTCCTGCTGTTATTGGGCCTCTAACACCGCTAGGTTAGGTTCTCCACAGAATATCGTTTTCAAAGCTACAACCGTGCTTCATCAGTACCTTAGATAGTACGTGTCCGCAGAATGACCGATTCCTGTCTGATAATGGTGTGAAAAGGTCACGACAACAATTTTCGGACGAAAATCGGGCACCTAGAAAAAATATGGTATCCCTCAACTGTTCTATTTTCCATTGCTTTCGAGCCACCTATCCTATTATCCTTATGATCCCTTGAGCAACTTACTGTACTGAAGAAACCTAAGGAAATCCCTGGGTACCCGAAGACTATATTCTCTTGGTGTGAAACTTAGACGACTATTATATGATGTATGATGATGTATGATGAAGTAACTTACGTACAATCATAGGATCATTAAATTGCAGAGTGCAGGAGGAAAGTCCTTTGTCATCTGCTACACTTCCCGATCATGGCGTGGATACCGTGAGTATCTACGAGACGGTATTCCACAAGGGGCCGTAACAGCTACATTGGAAGCAGCATGGTCCCAGCTTACTCATCAAGTGAGAATCCAAAAGTTGAGTGAAACATTCCTCAGTCTGCGCGTCGACAACATGTTTCGGCAAGTCGTTCCAGTCATTTACAATGCGGGTTGATAGGGAGGAACCGGGGCTAACTCTGATTCTTCTGGGTTTAAATAGTTTCGTTGTAGCTCCAACCCCATCTCCCCCTCAGAATTCGTCTAGTAAAAGTCAGATCAACTCTACGTCGACGATCTTCGAGGGAGATCAGGTGCATCCGCTATAGTCGAAGAGAGTAAGGCAAGTCCATTGACTTCAGTATGCATTTCGAAGTACGCTGTTAGACCTAAATAATGTCACAATCGAACTTGGTACGAAGCCAAGTGGCGGGTAATCCGTATTCAAGGATCCGGCGCACATGCGAAGTAAACAGGATTCTGAAGATTTCTAAAGTCACCCGCGAGAAGGCTCTCCGTATGGCATGGGACATCCTGTTGGCAGCGGCAGTCCTCCGTAGTGTGTCTTCTCTGGTCCATAAATCATATGAGGCAAGCACACCGAGCTCTTTCTCAAGAATGGTGGTTCTGAGTAACTCCCCACCAATATGGTATGTCTTTAACGGTTCAGGGGCGCCTATAGGGAAAACTGAGCATTTTCACGATTTATGGGCAATTGCCAGTTGACTGACCAGTCGTGTAGCATGTACAGTGATGCCTGCAATCTGTCAGCATCATCGAGACAGGATACCTCCATCCACAGCTTCATGTCATCGGCGTAAATCAGACAATCCATCTGAAGCTTCGATGAGAGGTCATTGACGAATATTTTGTACAGTTCTGGACCGGTTACCGACCCTTGCGGAAGACTGCTAATCATGAGCACAAGTGCGGAGTAGGCTTCATTCACCTTGTCTCGCATGGTCCTGCCATCTAAAAAATCGGCGATCCCAGAAAGGACACCGGTACCTCTGAGTTTAAGGAGGAGCCTTTCATGGGGAACCTAGTGAAATGCCTTGTTGAAGTCTGCCTAAACCACATCCAGGCGTTTTTCAGCATCTAACAACCTCGTCCAGTTCTTCATAGCAACGAGCAGGTTCGACGTACATGAGCGTGTTCGCCGAAAGTCCTGCTGAGCACAAGTGGTGATGTTTTGGTTCTCAAAGTGAAGCAGCAGAGCGCCTGAGAATCCTTTCCTTTGCCTTGCACCATATGGACGTTAGGCAGATAAGTTGATATCTTGCAGGATGTTGACGATCGCCTCCTTCGTATATAGGTTTACCGGTCCCCAATTTCCAAGCAACCAGGAGCCGCCCAGCTTCCAGTGGTGACGATATATCTGACAAATGGGAGCAGTAATTTAGTCCATCACGGTCTTGACGAACAGCGGGTGCAGCCCATCAGGACCCGGCGAAGAGTTCGGATCTAATACACGAAGGCCTTTGGCAACGTCAGCTACACTCATTTATATGTGTTGCAACGAGGAGGGGTGGAATGGCGCAGCGTCACCGCGTAACAGCGTCTCTATCGAGTAGACAGACGAATACTGCATGGCCAGTAGACTGGCTTTCGTCGCATCGTTGTCAAGTAAACTGCCCTGCTCTGCGGAAAACGGTAGGAATGCCACTGCCATCTTTGGTACCTCTTTTCAAGTAAGAGTAGAGTGTCTTCGGTGTCGTCCTGGATTGCACGGCCAAACTGAGTTTATACTGAAGCCGTTTCTGGCTTTTTTCACGATGCACTCATTTCTGATCAATTTGTACTCCCAGTAGTCAAACGCGCAGTGAGTCCCATAATTTACATCTTTTGGAGATTAAGCACCTCAATTCTCGGTCTATCCATGGAGGGACAGTGGTAAACGTTCTGCTTTTGCAAGTAGGAACAACGTGCTCAACAAGCGAAATCATCTTGGAATGCAAAACATTCCACTCCTCTTTTGCGTCCGAGGGTAGAGGGATATTCCAGTCCACAGCGCTAGCGGCCACTTGCAGGCGGATTGCATCGGCATGCCAGGAATTTCTGCGGAAACTATCTTGGTTGTGAAAAGTGAGGCGTTGAGTCCAGAGGAATGAAACCCTACACTGATCACTATTACCAAGAGTGTTAATGTCTGCGACATCTGATTGTACCGGGGAAAGCACAAGATCGAGAATATGGGGTGTCTGTCCAACAAATATACGGATAGGTACAATAACATGTTGAAATAGGTTGCGCTCGAGAACGGTTTCCAAAAAGTCCGCACCGCTAACGTCTAAAGAAGTAGCACAATGCAGCAAATCCCAGTCCACACCTGGGGTATTGAAGTCTCCCACTAGTACACAGTCCTTTCCCCACCATGCATTTTAATGGAATCTAGCAGCCGAGCTCCGGAACCCAATGGAGCTCTGTAGACAACACTGATCATCATGGATCTGCATCCATCATGAACCCGGCACCACAGAGCTTCGAAACCGCCATTACCATCACAAGTACCGTCAACTAGATGAGCCTTGAAGTCTGCATTCCATTACAGAATCACACCGCCACCAGACCTCTCTCCTTGGCGGTCATCCCGACAGAGATGATACGCGGGGATCTGCACCTCCGAGTCCAGGGTATCCGAGGACAGCCAGGTCTTTGTGAAAACCATTATGTCATGGCGATTCACTGAGGCACAAAGTTGAATTTCACCAGATTTGTTTCGAATGCTGAGCACATGAGCGAAAACTGTTGGCAATCCATTCTTCACCTCTAACGCCTGGGTATGCCAACTAGTGGTTTCCAGCGAATTTTGGTAGCTTTTCGGACTACGCGAAAATCCACAATGTGTAAATCTGTCTCACCGTTGTCTCTGCGGATCTGAGTTCGTCAACCGATTGTTTCATTTTCACCCGATCCTCCGGGGCAAGATCTTGCAATACATAAAATGATTCACCTTTAAGATGCGGAGCTCGTCGAAAAATGCGACAGGCGTCGTCATCATTTTGACATCCAATTTTAACTAGACGAACCTTTGAGGAGTCCTGTTTTTTGCCGAGGCGGAAAGCTGAAACGATGTTTATTCCTTGTTCTCCTTCATCGAACAGTAAAGTGATCATCCGTTGTAGGAACTCCTGGTCATCTACAATCGTTTCAGCTGGGGTGGCGATGGTCGACTCGGCTGCATTCACGATGATAAGGCAGCGGTAGCGAGATGGCGATTTGGCATTCTCACGGATCTTCGGCTTCAGAACAGGCGGGCCATCCTTAAGCAGTTTCTACAGTTGATCGACTCTATCAAGAACCAAATTCAACTGCGATTGAGATGATGACTTGGATTTTAGCCCAACTCCTGCCTTGCTTTTACGTTTAATATTTCGTACGTTTTCCTTTACCACTTCTGCGTACGTCTTGATTTTAGGCTCTTTGCTGTGCTCAACAACCGCCGGCGTCCTCGTAGGTGAGGTGGACGGTGCTCGACTACGCTTACTCGTTGGGGTATCTGCGCCAGAAGCACATGAGATAAGGAAAAGACTTGGTAGCGAGACAGCAGCGATGTTCATCTCAGCTTGAGCAGTAGAGGCAGGCGGACTGAGCGCAGGCAGTCCGTCAAAACATCGTCTGTTGTTTATCGTAACGCGGCACAAATCGCAAAAGAAACCTAAACCCGGAACGTTGTATCGCAGGAAAAATTCGCACAACTCATGGTCGACTACACAGCAAACTATGTGGATTCACCCATCACAGATGGTGCACTACAGGGCTTTGGAGCGCGAATTAACTCCTTTAAAACATGACAAGCATTTGGACATTATAGCATATGAAGTCCAAATGTTAAACAAATGAGTTTCCAGAACGATCTTGATTTGTTTTCCTTCGATCAAAAGACTTCAATAAAACAGAACACTTAACGCACGGCAATCGGACATTTGACCGACCAACGTTGCTATCACGGACAATGTTCCGTGAATTTTCTCTTTTCCCAACAGTACGAAGACACCTGTTTTCGGATTTAGAGTCGACAGTTTTATTTATGATTAAGCATTGTTCATTAATCCGTAGATATATTTGATGTCGGTGATACTTTATTGGATTAGTCGACCCGGCGCATCTGGATGACATCGAGATATCCGCGCTATCCTCCTTTAAGGATGGCACCGCA